GGTGTTGAATCCATTCCAACTCAGGCCACCATTTTATAACAGCACAAAATGCTCCTCAGTCTTGGATCCTCCTCAGGGTCCAATGTTCAAGTCCATCATTGGAGTCATTGTGCTAATCCATCTCCCATGGGCTCCCTCACTCTCTCTGGCGTTTATGTCACCAAATATAACACTTTTCTCCAGCAAATGATCTTTGTTGATGATGTATTCAAAGGTAGCAAGATTAGACCCATTCTACTGTGTCCCACAAGGTTTCCATTGGCTAATTTTCAAATGCACAACTCGAGGGCTTTCTTTGTAGTTTATCTCAGTGCAGAAACTCAATCAAGTAGATAAGCTTTCTGCAGTTTTGTTGATTCGTTTTGAAAATAACAGTGGTGTCACTTCCAGCACCATAGAAACAATCATCATAGCAGCACAACACACTGACAGAGGGGTGGTGACTTAAACTTACAGTGAATCATGAAACCTCACAGACCGTGAGATAAAGGAGCCTGGCATATGGAAAGCATATGTGTCTTCTGTCATTGTTATTACTAATACATAGAATATATAATGGTATGTTTTGTATCAAAAGGTGGTACTTATCAGCATGTTACATTATAAGACAGTCTTTGTGATCAGATCTAAAATAAGGAATATGTTCAGTGTTTTTTTTTATTTTAAAAAGACTAGTTTCAATGTACTGATTTTTAAATCCAGCTCATTTTCAGAAGTATCACAATGTAAACAAAAGAAGAGAAGATCAAGAAGGTTTATGATTAGAGATATTCCATATATACCACTGGTTGTCTACTTTCTCATTTAGAAACAAGCTTCAAAATTGAAGATGATTATAAACAGATTATGCATTACCAGTGTTTTCCCCAGGAGGATCTGTGAAAACAATCTTTGAAACCAGAGGCTAGAAATAACTCTAGTTTTAAATGATATTGATAAACATGGAATTAAAAAATAATTAAAATGACTATGCTATGATTTTTGGCAATTTCAAAGATGAACATAAAATATCTGGTCAAAAGGTAAAGTATAATAGCCATCAGATACAACTATTTCTTTCCCCAAATTACCTGAAGTTAGATGGCGCCAATTATGCATGCACGTGCCAGAGCATGGCTATTCCAGCAAAGAGGAATTTGCATAGATGATGATTTTAATCAGAGGTACCTATTTGATTTCACAATGATCTGTTTTGCATACACATCTGAATCCTGTACATGTGATTCTGTGTTTGCACAGACAAGCAATTATTTTGTTGGTGCAATTTAGAAATCCTTGTTTGATATATTAGGATATTAATTTTATTCCATTTATAACGTTCCGGACTCCCTTTTTATTGACGAGAAAAAGAGAGCTCCTTGGAAGAGGAAGGAAATGGATTCTGCTTGGAGTCATGGCTGGCAGGGATACTGCTGCTGGTTGATTCTCTGCTTAAAAAAAAATAAAAAAGGGAAATATGCTTTTACACACACACACACACACACACACACACACACACACCCGACTCTTTCTGCTTTCTGCTTTGGAGATGATTTCAAAGTTTAAAGATGGCTTGAGTTCACAGGGAGAACCCTTGAGTAGCAATCATATTGAGTGCACTCAATTTTCTACATAGTTAGGCCCTAAATGATGGGAGTAGGTTGTTGATCCCTACTACTCTTAAGCAATAAATAGAGAAAATTGAGAGCGGGGTAAAAAGAACCAAATTTATAGTCCTGAAAACAGATTCTCTCTGTGGAGCTCCTGGAAGAAAAAAAAAACACTCTGAAAAGCAGTGAAGCAAAACTCTTTATTTCATTATGGGCTTGCTGGACAATCAGGATTCTTGTTGGCCTTCAGCAAGGGCAGGGTGGTACAGAAAGCCCGGTAAATTGATGGCCACAGGGACAATGTTCTGGGAAAGTGGTCTGCTTGTTTTCTAGCTAACTCATCCAGACAGGCCCACTGGGACAAACCCTGTTTAGCATCCAATGTTATGCACAAACTCATTTTAAGAGGCTTCTCTACATTATAGATGGGTCATTGATAACAGCAAGAAATATTTTGGTTGCTTTTTTCCATCCGATCTTTCAGGCTAAGGTTTACTCTATATGCTTTTGGGATCAGCACATCTGGACCTATACTTATGAGTAATTTATCCTATAAAGCGATTGAGTGGAAACTCAGTTAATGCGTGTTCACGATCCTGTCAGCTTCCTCTTGACTTCGTTTGGAAACCCGGCTCAGTTGTTGCAGTTGTGGGTTGCCTCACAGTGACCTACTGTTATCAGACGGACACACTTCCCCCTGTGCCGTCTTCACAATCTTTGTTTTATGTGAATCCACTGTGGTGGCTACAGTCAGACTACAGAAATTATTGTAAAGGCTCTGAGTTCTTGCACTTTCAGCCTGGCCATCCACTTCAACATTGGATTTTCTATAACCAATTTCCTCTCGAGTCATACATGATGACATTGTCATTGGAAAAATCCCAGGCCACGTTAGTCTGTAGTGCTTCTTCACTAACGTTTTGTGGTCATTTATTTCCGGTGTTCACAGTCAACTGTTGCAACTCAAAATGTGGTCACTGGAGCAACCGTTTCAATGCTAGTGGAAAGTGTGCAAACATCTGCAGCATCTAGGTCTAGGCAACTCTAGCTTTAGGAAGTCCTCCACGTTTCCTTACAACTACTGACCTAGGGTCACTTGGCTCTCTCATTCACACACACCAATCTTGTGTACATAGTCAAACATGGCTAGAACGTATTCCTAATCTCCTTGGGATCTCAATGAGCTTCATTTAGGCTAGATAAGATTGATAAGTCAGCAGGAACGTCATATGAAATTACCATCTTATTATTTTTGGTGCACTTGCAATACAAAAGGCAGAGACCTACAATCACAGTGATAATTATTTGTCTTTCTCACAGTCATGGTGATGGTTAGGCTCACAGTAGACTGATTCAAGGCGGTACATTGTCCTTGTAACTATGGCATTGCTAAGGGAAACTTTAATAACATTTGGTATCTTCTTCTCTTGAAATTTTTGACTCAAAATTAAGTAGGTGAGAAGAAGGGAAGATACGGAGAGCTAATTAAGAATCAGTTATTTCTGTATTTGGCTGAAGTTAAAATCTGGCATTGTCTGATCTTAAAACTGATCTTTATGCAATGATATCAGAGTACAAAAATCAAATTAAAAGGGAAAACTTTGTCTCACTTAACAGTTTTGAAGAGGACACAAAAGGGAAGAAGGTTTTATAGAACAGCTTGCTACCCACCCCATGGTCCTTAGACCCACAGCTTTGATACCATCTGAGAAGTTACAGAACTGCAGATTCTGAAACTCTTCCACAGAATTACCTAATTGGAAACCCTCCCCCCATTTGAAGAGAAGATTTTCCAGACAATTCATGGTTACCATATAATTTGAAAAGCCCTGATATATAATATACATAACCTCAATTTATTTTCTTTACTTGATGTCATTCCATCCAGGATCTCATTTAAATGGGACATCTGCTTTCTGATTGTTAAGCCCTTATCATATTTTTCCGAAACATGCCACGTGTCTGCCCAGCAGATGATCTATGACTGCTCCGAGCAGGTTGGTGTGAGTGTAGATGAGTGGCCCACAAATGCGCTCCGATGTACGGCCCTGGCGTGGGAAACACAGAGCATGTCCTGGCCATCTTTTCTGAACTAGTAAACCATCAAGGACGTACAAGGGCTGAGAGTCTAAAACCATGAAACACGTGTTTGCAATACTGACGTTTTACTATTGGAAAAGCACAAGGGTAGGTATTGGTTTGCGTTCAGTCTGTCAAGATACAAGTTAAAGGTTACCCAGATAAGACTATCTGTCCCCATAAAGATTGAGAGCAGCGGTTCTCAACACATATTTCTGATGGTTTGGGAACCAAGACACGCTCCTCTCTCCGGGTCCAGGTGGGTCCGCCCACATGCAGATACACTCACATATGAGTACCCAGCATGAAGACTGTTACCCATGCTACACCTGACTCAAGACAAAATTTCATTTATTTGCCATTAGAAATAAATATTTCACAATATAAAATTACATATTGTTTTTGTGATCCATCACTATACTTAATGATGTTCAATTCGTAACAATGAAAATACATCCTTCATACCAGATATTTACATGGCAATTAATCACAGTAGTAAAATGACAGTGATGAAGTAGCAACGAAAATAATGTTATGGTTGGGGGTCACCACAACATGAGGGACTGCATGACAGGGCAGCAGCATTAGGAAGGTTGAGAACCACTGCTTCAGCACCTTCTAAATTCAAAGTAGGGTCACCGTGAGTTGAAACTGATTCAATGCCTGGGAGATTTGGTTTCTTGGGTTTATCAATTTACCCACAGAAAAATTTGGTTAGTATAAACTACATCCAACCATCTTAGCTCCTGATAAGGATCAGAGTAATCCTGAATTATTTTTTTGTTATTTCCCATAGAGTCAGTTCCAACCTCCATAGAGGTTTCAAAGCTGCAACGTTCAGAAACAGAAAAACAGCAGTCGAATAAGGCAACTCAGGTTGGAACCACCTGCCACGTGGCTAGAAGTCAAGTCCTTCATTGTATATAAGTTAAGGCTTGTAGATGTTTGATTTCTTTCCTTGTAACAATATTAGCATAAAAAACATCATTATTTACTGTCACTATATAATGCCATAAAGTACTACTGTAACTAGTGAAACAGTAACTAACAACATGGAATTACTTTTCTAATTGGTTGAGAGATTATTGCAGTTTGAGTAACTTAAGCATCTGTGCGATCAACAGTTCTGTAGACAGAGATCTTATTGAAAACAAAATTCTGAGTTTTACTTGAAATAGAAAAGGAGAAAAGAAATATTCTATAATGCCTAGTGAGTTGCCAGAGGAAAACTTTTCAACAAACTTAACCAAACATTTTATAGGCAAAACAAATCATTTTGTTTCAAAAAGAAACATTCTCCAAGGAAATGTGAGAGTAGGAAAATAAACTCACCACAGTTGTTCACTTAATTGATAGGCACCATCATCTGAAACAACAAAAATGGATTGATATCATGAAAAGCGCCCAAAATTTCCTTTTCTTAATATGCTCAAACATATGCTATGAATAGATCTATTATAGCGAAATTAAATATGCAGTGCATATACTTGATTAGATCTCAGTAGCTTTTTATTTTTATTTTTGTTTTTTTCAGATCAAAGTGTTCATCCCCCAAATTGAAAGGCCATATTAGGTAACCGCTTCTTTCTTAAATTTTTTTATTTGCATATTTAGCAAATAAATTTTCTTATGATGTGCAAGTTAAAGTTAGGCCGAAGTATAGAGTCCCCTGTGTAACCCAATCTAGGAACTTGAATAATCTTGGAAAATTTATCCTACACAGTCTTAATAATGCCACTATGCACTTCTTTATCTAATTAAAAATTTATATCTATCTCAATCTCTATGTCTATCTATATCTTGTCTAGAAGCTAATGAGTAGGGAAAGGTAGGGATTTCTATTTAACTGATGAGTTACAGTCTCAGGAGTTCACAGAGGAAGTTGTGCCCTGTCCAGTAGGGTTGCTGTGAGTTGGCATCCATTCAATGGCAGTGCATTCGGTCCTCGGTTTGTGATAAGCTAACAAATGTAGCATATTGCTCAATCTCTTCCTTTCTAAGGCGAGCTCCCATACTTCTCCAGTGTACTCTGCACTAAATGAGAGGCACCTTGGAAAAATCCCACTTTCACAGCTGTGCTGGAACTATCCACATGGATGCGAACCCTGAGGCACAGCGATTGATCTTTTAGCCACATCTCACTTTATTTACCCTCATCGTATAGTATATGCACCTACTCTCTCCTCAGCCAGCCACCAAGCACTAAGTTAGAACTTAGACGTGAGAAGGACAAGGTCTTCCAGCTCGCACGTTAGAAGGATACCTCCTTTCAGAACGACAAATAAGCAGTCATTAGCCTCTGTTGGCTTTCCCTGTCCCTATCTTTTCATTGCTTTTCTGGATCAAATAGTAAAATGAACAGAAATTACACCACAGATGTATTACAACACCAAAGGAATGCAAGCAAAGGTGAGATCTAGGAAGGGTCACAAAGAGAAGCTTCCATGTCTCAAGAGCATCAAGCTAACCTTTCATGTCTGGTCACCAACCAGGAAGCTCCTCTGAGCCTCCCTGTGTGAGGCCCTTATTGGCCTATCAGGGAGCCTTAGTAGATGATGACATGATATTACTGCGAGTTTGTCATTATCGGCCCTCAGGCAGTTCCTGGTGGTCTGGCCACCCCCTTCTCAACTGCTTCAATGATGTCCATCTTCCACAAAGACCACATCGCTTTCTGCAAGGTGACTCTATAGCTCACACATCTTGATCTATATTTTTATCACCAATTATCTCTCATTTGCTCTCTACTCAAGTCTGTCCTTATGCACGCCCTCTCTTTTATCTTCTTAAATAACACTTTGTGCACCCCCCTCCCTGTAAAGACATTCTGTCTCCAACCATACCTACACTCTGTCTACATATGTCCTAAGGATTCTTTAAAACAAGTTTGATGACCACCCTCTGTCTCTCTTGACACCCATAGGGATTACTCTGCTCTCCCTCAGCATTTCCTTCATGTTTTGTCCTTCTAGTAGAGAAACAATCAGATTACATTTTCTATGACAAATATGGATGCGTGCCTTGAATCTAATCATTTTCACATTTGCAGGTTTCCTGCTTTTCGACCTAAATGTTCAGCACAAACTGGATGAGCTACACTTTAGCTTATCTTCCTGAAACTGCTAAAGAAAACATTATAGTCACTGCTAGTGAGTTTATTCTGATGCAGAGAAACCCCTATGTATGTTTCAGAGTCTGTAAATCTTTTCTGAAGCAAGTAGTTTCATCTTTTTCCCACAGGGTGGCTGATGGATTTGAACTGCTAACCTTATGGTCAGTGGTCCAAGGCTCATCCAATAGCACCATCAGGTATCTCTCATATATGTGTGTTGCATTTTCCTGTGTAGTTGTATTGCACATGGTTATGCAAACACACCTTAAACTTTAAAGTAATAGATAGACTCATTATGAATAATATTCTAAACTGCCTAATACGCACATGAAATTTTGACATTGACAAAGGAGTGAAGAAGAATCGGTGAATTTGAAATGTGGTGCTGGCGAAGAATATTGAAAGTATTATGGACTGTCAAAAGGACAAACTGATCTATCTTGGAAGAAGTCACATAGCAAGACTTTGTCTCATGTCCTTTGAACATATTGGCCAAAGGGACCAGTCCCTGGAGAAGAACATCAGGTTTGGTACAGCACAGGGACAGTGAAAAAGAGGAAGGTCCTCAAGAGATGGACTAATACAAGCAGTGTTTTGTTCCATTGTGCAAAGGGTTGGACAGTACTTGATGGCGCCCAACAAGAAGAATGGCCAGTTTTCATAAAAACTACTGTACACAAACATTCCTGGGGTGAGGACCAGGGAGTAAGCAGGGGCCAGACAAAATCCAGGGATACACATGGTAGCCAACTAAAAAGGAGGGGGGAAAGGAAAAACAAGTTATGGAATTAGGTCATTTTTTCCCTGATGTTGATAATTGAGTTTAGGCATATGGTTTAAGCTGAATTTACCTAGTAAGAGTTCATTTTCCACTCACACCACTGGTCCTGTAGGAATCATCCACCCTGGATTCCCTGTATTTCCAGTTCCTATCTGTACCAGTGTACATCCTCTGATCTAGCCAGACTTGCAAGGTAGAATGCATATCATGATAGTGGGAGCGGGGAGAAAACATTTATTAACTAGACGAAAGTTGTATTTTTCATCGTTGCTACATCGCCCCCTGACTGGCTCATCTCCTCCCCGAGACCCCTCTGCAAGGGGGTCTCCAGTGGCCTGCTAATGAGCTTTGGGTCTCCACTCCGCACTCCCCCCATCATTCACTATGGTAATATTTTTTGTT